AAAGCTCTTTTAATATCAGTCTTTGATGCTTTGACCCAAGTTGAACAGCAGTCTACTAGGCCATGTCAACATAAACTAAAGTGTAATATTTGTTGAATAAATATATTTTCAAACAATTTTCTCTCTGGTTTAAGTCGACATAGACCATTAGGCTATGTCGACATAGACCAGGGAGAAAGCTCTGTTGAAATAATTGGTGGTCCTTTCACTCTTTGGTTTAAGTCGACTTAAACCAAATGGTTCATGTCGAGTTGAACCAGCAGTCGCAAACTCACAGTCACACTCACTCCGGCGCTCTCCCACCCCTGGTAGCAGTCGTGGTTTATGTCAACTTAAGCCATTGCTTACGGGAACAGAGATGGTGCTTGCAGTGAGGGTGGTAGCCTGAGTGTGAGTGCGAAAGTATCTATGTTAACATAAACCAGCAGAGTCAACTTAGACCCACAGAAACTGCAAATTTCAGAAACTAATTTCAGTTTAATAAAATATAATTTGTTTTCGCCGAATTATGTTGACTTCAGTCGATGATGTAAAAAGAAAAAAGTTCACAATAACAGCTTCTTACAATCTAAGTTGCAGTGCACATTTTAGGAAAAGAGAAAAGGTCAAATATAGACGTTTTCTAAGACACAAAGAAGTCCTAATTTTTGTAACAGACATTAACGTTTTCAGAATAAAGTTTCTGTTAGAGTCACCAGTGTGTCAGCACCTCTTGGTAATTCTGACACTATTGTCGCTAGTTTGCTGTCTGGTCGTCGGACGACCATGCTTGTTCCGTAATGCTCTAGACCTGCAGTGACGAGAACAAAAGTTAAAATATCAAAATTTCATTAGACTCATTTTCGAGTGACCCGTAGAGTACAGCAAAATCTAAACTTAAATGAGTCATTATCTGTAGTACAGAACCGAATCCGAGATTGACTGTCATAAAATCTAAAACTTATGTTAATAAATAAATCTTAAATCAAATAAAAATCTAAAAATGTCGATCTTTCCAATCGCTCCGGTAGATAATATGACAATGTTAGAATTTTTCGACTGTAAAAGAACCGTAAGCGATACAATCGTTTTTTGTCAAAATCTTGGTTTGTTACCGCTCGGTACTCCAAAAGTCGAGTGTCCTAATCGACATATTGATTGGTATCTCGGAGTTTTTAGTGATGTCATTGATGGTAAGTAGTTCGTTTATTCTAAGAATTATAGTAAACATTCACATGTTTCGTCGTCATTAGGATATGTTTGGCGTTGCAAAATATGTAAAGCACGTCGTTCAATTAGAGATGATACATTTTTCAGTGGTTCTCATCTAACTCTGTCTCAAATGCTTGACTTAATATTTTATTGGTCTCAAAAGATTGATTCTGTTGAATTTTTACATCGGCATTGTAAAATGCAAAGTAATTCAACAATTGTTGATTGGAGAAATTTTATACGTGATATTTGTGCAGAATATTTTCTGAGACATCCAGCAACTATAGGTAGAAATTCAAATCTAAAAAAGATCTACGTACTTATCTATTTTTGCTTGACAAATAGGTGGACCGGGTCATATAGTGGAGATTGATGAAAGCAGCTGGACAAAAAGAAAATTTAATGTTGGTCGCGTTCCAGTTGGAAATCAGTGGGTTTTTGGGGGGATTGATCGAGATACACGAGAATGCTTTGCTGTTCGTGTCGATAGAAGAGATGCCGGAACACTTTTGCCGTTAATTCATCAATATATTTTACCAGGTGCTTTAGATGCCTTCTTTCCTACTTTTTTTAACGGTTTTCTAATTCGATAGGTACACAAATATTTAGCGATGAATGGGCAGCTTACCATCAGTTGCAACATGATCCTATATATTTGGGAATGCATCTTACCGTGAACCATTCACTCCATTTTGTCGATCCAACTTTAGGTGTTATCTTTGCCTTTAATTCTTATTTTATTTCTATTCCTTTTCTTAATTTTTCAACGCGTAGGTACGCATACTCAAAATGTGGAAAATATGTGGATGGTGGCAAAAATGAGAAAGAAATCAATGATGGGAATACACAAAACGCTATTAGACACACATTTAACAGAGTTTATGTGGCGTCAAAAATTCGGAGACAGACCATT